AGAAACCTCCACCAAATAAGCCTGTCGATATATACAGCCAGAGAAATTATATCGATTAAAGGAAATTGTCTGAAAAGGGGTATGAAGAAGTAAAACTTTTTCATACCCCCTCTCCCTCTAATTCCACTTAAATTAACCTTAAGTCGAGTAATCTTCCTATTAAACTTGTTTTCTGTCACAAAAAAATGATTGTCTCCCTTTTATCTCCTCTTTCTTTCATAGTTTCTTCTTTTTCTTGTGTTTCCTTTGCTGTTCTACTATCCCTTTGCAGCATCCATATAATCTGAAATACTCCCTGCATGAATTATAGCTATTTACATGCATTAATCAAGCGGAACACCATGGCGATATCCATACTGCTCCACTTGTGAAAGTAAAATCTTTTGAGTTCTCTTTTTGGCATCAAGACAATTATTCCTATTGCCACATTGCCAGACAAGAGACTGTTAAAAAAAAAAGTCACACACACACATATATATTTATATATATATATATATTTCAAATACAAATCTCCATACATAGATGTAAATGAATATATTCACTCCACTACACAAACACATCAGGCCAAAATCCACATGACAAGTTTATACATCGGCAGAGTAACGCGACCAAAACCCCCATTCATCAGTGCCACATCCCGCCTCGGACCCCACAGCAACATCCACCTCCCCTCGTCATCACAGTGCATCTTGAAAAACATCAGTTTGAGCCTTTTTTTAAACAGACTCATGCTTGGACATTGCTTGGTGAGTTTGTTCCAGACCTTCGACCACTGACTGAAATATTCATTCTCTTCATGGTGGCTCGAACACCACAAGGTTCTGAAGTTAAGGTTTTCCCCAAAGTCTTAGCCCCCCACTCTATCAGAAAACAGCCTTTGAATATTTCCTGGTTGTTTATAAAGTAAAGTAAAACCTCCTATTGGCTCCTGATTAGTTACTCTGTGTTTCCAAGGGAGCTCAGCAGTTCCTTTAATAAGGCTGGGTGTTTCCCTGTAAGTACTGCTGAAATGCTCATCAGCTCCTGATTAGTTCCATAGTAGTTGAATCCAACCATGTTGGCGTAGTTATATTCTACCTATTCCTGGGCTCTGCTTAATCACACCTGAATCAAATAATTGGGTCTTTAGAAGCAAACCAGTCCAGGAGGACACAAGATTCACAGCCATGCTGAACTAGATCTTTATTTACCATCTCCAACCGCAGCGTTGTGTCAGAAGCATTCCTCTACAGGCTGTGAGACTGAGCGGCTATACGTTTCCTCATAAACAACTGACACAAACAATACATCACTTAGTGACTCAAAATGCCTTCGCCTCCATTAGAAAAAGCTCGGCTGCTCTTTGACCATTTTCCCTTCTATCCATCCTATTAAACATCAAGAGGACGTGGAAACCCTGGCTTATCCATTACGCGTACATGAATAAAAAACAGCATTTGTTAGAAAACTGAGATGAGTCACAGCTCAGATGAGCATTTTCCTACTATGCTATCAAAAATTTAAAAAAAAAATCACCCAGATGGTGCCATCTCTGTTTTTCAGAAGTAATGTCCACACAGCCTCTGATCTTGAATCATTACGGATGTTGCAGGCTCGCTTCTTCTGTTGGACCATTTTTATTTGTTGGTTTTTTTAGAGATGGTGTCTCCAACAGTTATTTTCTGATTTGAAGTCTCTAGAAATAGGATTTACTGTACACTAAATTCTTCAGGGTTTTATTTTGTATTATTGAAAAAAAAAAAATAGAGAATGAAAGCATAAAACCTGGATCTGAGATACAGTGATCAAACCAAGAGTGGAAGGAATATCTCTTTCAGTCCCTGAGTTCAGCCAAATAAGTCAATAAAATGCAACAACAACAATACATGTTCTGTTTCTAGCCCCATATGAGCATATTATGGTTTTGAGGTTTATTTACAACTGTGGGCAATCTCAGAAAATCATAACTTGGTATTGATTTTATATTTGCCGACATGCCGTTTTGGATAAAATATTCACAGAAACACAACATATGCTTTTAATCCTATAGGGCTGCAGTCTACTGCATAGGAAAACATGCAGTTTCCTATATATATATATATATATATATATATATATATATATATATATCCTGCTCACCCTGGCCCATCTTTCCCATGATGCAGATTCCTCTTCCACTCTTATTAGTGAGTTCTGGCATCAGTCAATGCTTATATACACATCACCACTATGCAGAGTGTGAGTGGAAGAAAACGAAAACACAACAGCCAGGAAATTATCCATTAACCTCTAGCCGTAGCGATACTGTTTTCATCGTTTTATTATTATTATTATATTAAATATATATACTGGCCAGCTCTGTAAAGATCACATGCAAAATCTACAAACTGCTGTTTTCAGGGAGCTGTTTCTAGGAATATTTGATTTCAAGGAAAAAAGAAAGGAAAATGCTTATGGTTTGTTCTGGTCGAAATCCAAATCATAAAACAATGATTCATTGAGTTTAATGAAAAACATTAATTTTATCTGGTGTACTTGGAGAACAGTGAACCATAGTCCTTTTATTTTATAATACTAATTATGAATTAGTTTAATGAAAACATAAATAGAAAAACTATAAAACATAGCTATAATATGCTTATATTTTAGTGCAGCTACTGACAGATCCTTATTATCCATTTGATTTGGTTAAAAGTATTGAATCTAATATCTTAACTGTTGACAGACTGTAAACATCCCTACAGGCGGCTCCAAAGACTTGAGGTTTTATTTAGGAGAGGTGGGCAATAACTGCTCACATTTGCTTCAGTAAACTGTATTAAAAAAACAAACATCCTTTTTGAAGTAGTTGTGCTTTCCTGTACTTTTTCCTTCTACTTAACGACTATTCTTGTAAGAGTATCGCTACTCTTCACTGAGTGAACTGTCTGGTTACGCCCCCCAGCACGAGGAAGATGTAGCTCAAAGTTCTTTATCCTTTGCTGACTTATACACAATGGATCGTTTTATAAATTCATTTTGAAAAAATTACTTCTTTTGTTCATATTCGTTATTCTGCAATATTATCTATTTATATTTTTTACTTTGTTGCATAACTTTAAAATACCAGAATTGTAATTCCCTGTCTGCTGGCATAAATGTAAATATTAAATCAGATGTTAAAGAAGCAACAGATACTCAGTAACTTGAGAAACATTATGCAAAATCCTTCTTTACTCTAACTATTCTACTTTTATGTGAGTAAAATAATCTAAAGGTATTGCTATTATACATGAGTAAGACTTTTGGGAGCAACACATCATGTGGGGATTCCTGCCGTATATGGAGGGGGAAAATACGCTATGAAACAAAAATGTTACCATGAAATAAGCAGATGTAACATTTAATTATTTGTTTAACATGCATGATTCAAATATTAAATATACAAATTTATCATTTATAAATACAGAAATAATCTAATGTCCATTTTAATATGAAAACCTACATTTAAAATAAATCAAATGGAATAAAAAATATATATATGTTTAATCTACTTCCTTTACTCTGTACTACTGTAATAATTATGGTATGAAATAATGTTATTGTTGTATTTAGGGGTAGCTGGCTGATTTGTTGGGACAATAGCACACCGCATTCTGCTTCATTTTGCATAAATATTATTAAAATCTATCAGAAAAACAAGTGATTTATCAGATTAATCAGATATTGATGTAATTATCAATGATTTAGTATTTGAATCGGGACATAGAGTAATGGTAAACAGATCCTCAAACATGGAACTGGCTATAATGATAACCTGCTTACAGCAGAAATTAATTACAAACTAAAAATCTAAATAATATATTAAAAATAAAGATAAAATATATATGCAATACTTCAATTAAATATGAAATTGTTTTACCATTTGCAATTCATTTGAAATGTGTGACAGAATGCTTTCATTTAAAGAAGTTTATTTACTGATAGTTTAGATTAATCGATAGGTGAGTTATTGATTAATTTATAAATAAATAGGTGAGTCCCTACTTAATACCCCAATAAGGAAAGTTCAGCTCAGAATCAACATGCTAAGATTCAACAACATTTTCCTGACTGTCATCCGTCTTTCCCGATCTTTGCAGATTCTGACCCGGTTTCTGTCATTTATAACTTAAAATCTTGTGTGATATTTATTTATCTCAGGCATTTTGTGACCATCCAATATGTACTTCATATATGGCAACCAATCAAATACTCCATTCAAGCAGCCCTTTGATCTGGATGATGCTTTAGTCTCCACATACTGCAGCTTTTAATCATTTGAAGCCATGAAATCTTCCAATACACCAAGATTAAAATATATACAACAGATTTAATAAATTGAAAAGCCTTGTGGGGAGATTGTGTTTTAATTTGCTCACTGCATGTAGTCCATGGATGGAACAGGCATTAGGATTCTCATTCCTAGCACTGTACTACATCTTTACATCAAAAATAGAAGTTTAAAAGAGCATCTAATCTAATTAGATGATGTGTTTTTGTGTGTGTGAGGAAACCTCTATTCAGATTTTTTCTAGTTTTCCTCTAAGTCGTAAATTAATGATTTTTTTCCACAAGCAGCTGATTAATGGAAAGCCAGCAGGCACTCTGTCAATTTCTAAAGAAAACTCTCAGTCACATGAAGCCTTTGGCAGCAGCTGTGTGTTTCTGACAGCCCGGTTGAGCCTCAAACACCTCCTTAAACCACACATTTCAGGCTGATGAAGGTTTCCATCATATCTCCTGCATCTTGACCCCTGCTTCAGCAGCACAGCTCCATCAAGCTAGAAAATTTGCGCTCCTTTAGAGCTGCTGGTGGTTGGTGTGTTTGCAAACTGCCAGGATGCTCTCACAGCAGAGGCGCTTTCCATGCATCCGCAGCTTAAATACAGAGATGAGGATGAGGAGCGCGCAGGGAGTTCCTCTGCAGCCTTCAGCCTCCATCCATCCCCTCAGCTGAGCTTTCCAAACATCTCCTCTGAGCGCAGCAGCGCTGTACTCACCTGCAGGACACCGTCAGCTCAACTTTGGTGGCGGGTATCGCAGCGGTGAAGGGGTCTGCGTCCCCGATGCGCGCCATGTTCATGGAGAAGCCGCTCCGTCCGATCACAGATGTCCCTTCCTTTGGAGCCTCATCGGTGGCATGAGGGGAGACGGGACTGTTCTCTTTAATCACTTTTATATTTTTTTATTTGATTTATTCATTTATTGATATTTACAATAAGCCCGATTTGTCTTGTGGAAGCGCGGAAACAAACACCGAGTCTGTGCTGCTGCGCGTCTTTGTGCGCCTCCGAGCTCTGGAGGAGAGGATGGAGAGATGGAGAGAGGAGGGCGGGAGGATCCACGTGCTGACACACCAAGAAATGCACTGTACCCTGCTATCAGAGCCAGCCCGAGGCATAGGCTGTGTTTGCGGCTCCTTGGGGCCCCCTGCTGACTTCACATGTATGGAGGACCAAGAGAGTCACTAAAAAAACAAAAACAGCCAAATTTTACATTTAAATCATGCTATTATTAGAAATCTAATCTGAAAAGTGTTTTCTAAATGAGTATTTTAAATTGAATTATTAAAAAGGAATTGTAAATTGTATTTAAAATCAATTATTAAATCCTGCAATCATGGCTATGGGAATTGGGGGTGCTGCAGCACCCCCTAGTGGCGAGAGGAGGGTTAAAATAAAATTTTTAAAATACTTTGCACAATCTATACATTTCTTATAATATATTTTGGGAAATGATTTTGACTTTCTTTTATTTTTATTTTATTATTATTTGTATCCCACTCATGGCAGCAGACTAGTAAATTTAATGACAGGAATGAGGAGGAAATATGGCACAGAAATGCATTTCGGGCTCTTATGAGAGACTTTATCTGCACGACCTCAGAGCGCAGCTCAACATGGGCACCCTGCCTATAGCTCAATGTAAGAGCACGGTGCTGCCGCTCACTTTCATATCCATTTGTGCAGTTTAATGTAATCATAGTATTTTAGAGTGCTACTTTGATCTTAGGTTTTTTTGTGAAACAGAGAACTGTTGAATAACTCTTTAATAGTATAATAATATAATTATTTCCTTGTGGTTTGTGTAAAAGGATTTTTTAGCTAATAGAATCACGTGTGACATAAACATGAACACAGGTTCATGCCAGCTGACCAAATCAATTTTGTTTTAGTGTTTTTGTGAAGTTTAAATAATAGAGCATATATTTATCTGAAGACTGATGATGTGTGTGTTACAGACCCTGTTTGCGTGCACTGCTTTTCCTCAGAGTAGCTTTGCCTCGTCTGTTCCTGTTTGGCTGTGACGTCATCCTGGAAAGAAACATCAGCTGTGCTGCTTCTATAAACACCCTTGTTTATAGATGTTGGAGATCGGCC